GAGCAATTAGCAGTAGCATATAATGTACATAATTTAGGCGATAAGCTGTTAAATATTTAATTGTGATGAATCTGGTTTAATATTATCAAATGAATCTGGTTTAATATTATCAAATTTGATCAAGGCAAAGTCAAAATTATTTGTAGAAAAGGAACAAAAAACCCTAAAAAGCTAGCACCATCGAATGAAAAGCAAATGACGACAATCTTGACTTGTTGTGACACATTCGGTAATTATTTACCTCATCAAATAATTTATAAAGGCAAACATGTTATGAAAGACTGGTGCAAAGGCGGTGCCCAGAATGTTTATTATAATATATGAGCTTAGATATATATTATTATAATATATGAGCTTAGAGTTGAAAAAAAAAGCTTTAGAAAATTATATTTTACTTTGGCGTTTGCCGGCTCATACCAGCCATTTTTTACAGCCACTAGATGTTGGCGTTTTTAAAACAGTAAAAGGCGCATGGAAGAGAATTGTCGAAAGTTATTTGACTAAAAATCACTTTCAAAGCCTGACTAATCGACATTTTCCGGCCATGTTTAAGGATCTCATCGAAAATGGGGGGTTTAAACCTGAAAATGCACAGAGTTGTTTCAAAAATACTGGTATATTTCCACTCGATCGTTTGCAAATTTCTTCAAAAAAAACTTCCATTGGTGCTGTGTCTCAAGCTGTTGAAAACAACAATATTGAAAATTTATTTGATTCTTCAACAGTATCTAGTCCAGTAGTTATTGGAAATATTACCAATACACCTAACACACCGTCAAGAATGTCAAATCGTGAATTTTTGCTTAAAAGCTTTGCTACTTTGAATAACGCTGTTCAACAAGTGGGCAAAGATATAAACAAATCAGTGTTAAATATGCTTCGAGATCAATTGACACTAACTCTAAATAAAAGAGTTAAAAAAAGTGAGAGAATAAAGCGACCAGCTAATTATAATATGACTTCGGCGGATGCCATAGCTTACGATGAAGCTGAACAAGCATCAAAAAACAAAAATTAGATGAACAAGCTGCAAAGAAATTTACTAGAGAACAAAAAAAGATTTCCACTGCTACTCAAAAAGCGAAAAATGCACAGAAAAGAGAAGAAAAAAAAAAGTTGAGACAAAGTCAGTTGTCTAAAATACCAGGTAAAAAAGGTATAAAGACAAAGAATGGATTAGAAGACCCTCATTTTCCTCAGGCTTCAAATAACATTTTAGTATCTGATGATCTTCTATGTTATTCTTGCGAAATTAATTGGACAAATAACTTAGATAACCAATGGCTTGCGTGTGAGCAGTGTTCAAATTGGTCATGCATTGAATGTGTCTTTGATTATCGTCCAGCCATGGAGTTTATTTGTAACGAATGTGTGTAAAATAATATATATTCTTTTTTTATTAAATGATTTCATTTAAATAACACAAATAATACTAACATTAAAATAATTATTTTAATGTTAGTATTATTTGTGTATGTGTGTTTCTGTATTTTATACGCATCCGGAATTAGGGACATAAACACCTAATTCCGGATAAAAACAATATTTTTTAAAAATAAAATAAAAGATAGATTTATATCGCAAAAATAATATTTTTTATATTGTTCGATTTGTCTTGTTATGAAGTTTATTTATTTAAAAAAATTACTTCAAAATTCTTTATATTGAGCTAGTTATGACAATTTAAGTCCTAAACCATCCGGAATTAGGGGTTTTTACGGTATACAAAACATCAAAAAGCATCAAGAAATGCTTTATTATATAATAAAGTCATTTTTAGATAAATTTATTTTTTTCTTTTATTAGATACCGGTTTATAATTTTTAGTATTTGTTACTTTGTTTTATATAAAAACATTATTTTGAAAATCCCTCCCTAACTCGCCTTCCCCTCCCCACACACTTTATATTAACCCTCAAGTATGTCCATTCATCTTTGCCTAGAGGCAATTGATGCTTTGCAAAAGGCAGTTGATGCTTTTTTTAGATTTGATAACCTTATTGATAACTAATTTATAAAAATTAAATTTGTTGTGTGAATACTTAAACACCCTCTCTGTACCCACTATGTGCCCCCATCACCGCCACCCAACAAGAATATATTTTTCAACCAGTTACTCAAGGAATATTTGTAGTTTTTATTAGCTTTCAATTGATACCAAATTTAATCAAATTGGATGATTTTTATTGCAGTTATGATTAATTTAAGTTGTTAATTGCAAATTAACGGTCACAACTTTTTGAAAAAATCCCTATAAATATTTTATGTTTAAAAAACTCATAACTTCCTTAAATAACATCGAAAAACTTAAAGTGAGGTATTTTTTTTTTAGTTACTAAAAGGTGCTTCTAATGATGTCTTTGAATTTAATATCTCGCTTTTTTGATTTTTTTTGTAACATATATATATATATATATATATATATATATATATATATATATATATATATATATATATATATATATATATATATATATATATATATATATATATATATATATATATATATCAGGCCTTGCGATAAAGCGTCGGGCGATGTGAATTTTACGTCGTCCAAGGGCGATTTTGCGTGTAGCTAGGGCTATTTGCGTCGAGCAAAAATTTTTTTGTTTGAGTATATTTAAAGATATTTTTGAGCGGAATTTTAATGAAGTAATTTACGATTATTTTAACATTTGATAAAGTATTTTAAAAGCCGCACGCAGTTGAAATAAAAGTTTGAATTTAAAAAAATTAAATATGCTCATTATTTACAAGTAAAAAAAATTCAAAAATTAAAAAAAAAGTTTAAATCTTTTAAGCTAACATTTTAATAAAATTATTCAGCAATAGCAACGTTGTCGATAAAATTGAACAAAAATACTTTCTTTTAGTTTTAGATTTTAAACTTAAATAATTATTTTACAGGGGTTTGATAGGTTTTAAAATTATTCCATAGATTTAAAAATATTTATTCACTGTTAGACGTATTTAAAGTATTTAATAGTGATTTCGAGGAAACATTTTAAAAATTGGTGAGGGTAAATAAAAAAAAAAAAGATTAATATTAAAACGTATTCTACTTGATTCAATAAAAAAGTACAGTTATTAAAATTTTTGTAAAAAGTAACTCAAAAAAATTACTTAAATAATAACGATCGCTTTTATGTTAAAAGTTACCAAAACTCATCGAAGCGTGCTCAAGAACAGCTGCTGAAAAATAGAACGTCAATAGTTTTTCGAATAATTTTTAAGAATAATTTTTAAGAATAATTTTTTCGCTGAAATATTTCTTTTATAAGATTTTTATTCTAACATTTTATTTTATTTTAATAGAAATAAAATTCCTTGTTAACATTAAAAATCTATTCAAAACGTTCGTTTAAGTTTTTTATTTAAATAAATTGGTGCAGGTAATGTCGATAAATATGAAAAGCAAATAAAAAGAATTTAATGACGTCAAAAATCACGTCGTGCTTATGCGTCGCGCAGTTCTTATTCATCGCAAGGCCTGTATATATATATATATATATATATATATATATATATATATATATATATATATATATATATATATATATATATATATATATATATATATATATATATATATATATATATATATATATATATATATATATATATATATATATATATATATATATGGCAAAGACATCCCAAAGGAAGAAAATATTTTTTTAATGGTGAAAATCTAATAAATAGAACAAAGAAAGAAAATAGAAAAATTGTTTCGATTTTAGAATAGAAGATTTGCAAAAAACTAATAAAGTGAAAACAATGAAAATTTTTAAAGAATATAAATTGAAGAAAAATATTAAATAAACAGAACAACTAAAAGCAAAGTAATAACAAAGGTGATAATCTCACTTATCACCTTTGTTACTTGCTGTATTCAAGTGCTTTTATGTCACTTTTTAAGTGAGGAGACCAGGCTTGGATGGCTTACTCGAGATGAGGTCTAATGTATGTGGTGTAGAGTACCCTCCATAACATCAGCTCTCTTGTGCGAAAAGATTTTTTTAGTTTGCCAAGTATTTGGTTTGCTCTAGCTGCTGCAGCTTCTACTTGATGCTTAACTTTGAGGTCGTTTGATGTTAGAACACCTAAATCATGTTCAATAATTGTTGTTCCAAGTTCTATTTGATTACCATATATGTCAAGCATTGAGTAAAGACGTACTGACTTATTTGAGTGACCAACATACATGACTTTACATTTGTCTAGATTGAAATACATGAGCCATTTTTTAGATCATTTGACTGTATGATCTATGTCTTGTTGTAGTTTTATTGCATCATCTTCTGCTTTGATTACCCCTAAAATCTTACAATCATCTGCGTAGATCTTCATATGATGCACCATGTTGTTTGGAAGGTCATTTATATAAATCAGAAACAAAAGTGGACCTAACACTGAACCTTGTGGAACACCACTAGCAACATCTACATATTCAGACTTGCTATTGCTGATGACCACTCTCTGTTTTCGATTTTTTAACTAGTGAGATATCCACTCCAATAGTGCTCCATGTATGCCATACGCATCAAGTTTTAAAACAAGAAGTTGGTGAGGTACTTTATCAAAAGCTTGAGCAAAGTCTGTATAAATCACATCTATGGCATGATTATAAAATAGTGCTTTTGTTAAAATGTCCTCTGCCTCTAGTAGGTTGGTTGTACAGATGCGTCTTGGAAGAAATCCAAGTTGAGATTTTGTAAAGAGCCCTTTTTCAAGGAAATGTTTCAGGATTCTTTTGTGTATAAAACTTTCCATTATTTTACAGAGTATCAATGTGAGAGAAACTGGTCTGTAGTTCAAGCATTTTCTACGGCTTCCATTTTGAAAAAAAGGATTCTTATATATATATATATATATATATATATATATATATATATATATATATATATATATATATATATATATATATATATATATATATATATATATATATATATATATATATATATAAAATTAAATTTACGTAAATTATGTAAAACTTTATCCATAACATGGGTTCCTATCAAGTGAACTTGATATTAAACATAAATTGCGCATTCTAACACCTAGTGTAATACTGTCCTCTGTCTCTATACCAACCTTCTAACTGGACTTCTAACTTTCTCTCTAACATCCTTCATACTTCTAAAAATCACTTACCTTTGGTCTGCAAAGGGGTTATGATGCTATTTAATGAGCTGAACTGGTTTTTATGGGCCTAGGTATGCAGTGTCTATATAAGGTAGCTTTTTGGAGGAGGATAAACCACATGGAGGATAAACGCATGGAAAGAAGGTATATATTAAATAAAATAGTATGTTAGATGTATTTTTATATTTACTTTTTTGTAGTGCAGCCTAAAAAAAATTTTATTTAAATTATTTAAAATTGTAGGTTTTGACAAACTTTTCGATTCTATAGACATAGAATCGAAATTTTGATGTTAAAAATTGTTAAATTATTATTTAATTACTTATTAAATTTAGATACATTGATTAAATTTGACTGTGACTAAAATGAAATACTACTATTGAAATTTTTTCTTAGATTCATGTCTTAGTTTCAGTTTTAACCCAACCTTGAATTTTAAATGTACCTGCATCTAAATCTTCCATTGCTATGCTAGACGATTACATAGATATTTTCAAAGTTCCCTGGAAAAGCTGCCGGCTGAAATCATTGGTTTACTACACAAGAATGCTCCTCTTTTGCCACGAAAAACATGAAAGTACAATGATCAGGGTCATTTGTGATGATATACTTTCATACTTGTTTATAAAAAATCTATAAAAATCCATAGCTTTTTCATATTACCTGCAATGTATTCTTTAACTTTATCTACTTCTGACCTATACTTTCTTCTTTACATGCTCACTCTACATACAAATTTTCAACATTACTTTCTTTTCTTTTTTTTTTTTTTTACTGTAAATAATGATTTATTATTCTGACCTAATTATTATTATTTAGATGTATCGCAAAAATGAATCGTGAAAAATGAAATTAAATTGAAAAGAAAATCTGGTAAAAAAGCAGTCAGACCTCACCTTAAAGTTTCGAGTTTCGTAAACGAACTAGCGCTTGAGTAGACAGAGCATCAATAGATCAAAAAACGTTTTGTTTATGTTTATTATAACTATTATAACGTAATATATGTAACAATTTTTATAATATAGTATAATTTTTCATAATAAAATATTATTTGTTATCATATATATTATATAGTATATATATATATATATATATATATATATATATATATATATATATATATATATATATATATATATATATATATATATATATATATATATAATAACCGCTATAATATAATATAATTTGTTTATAATTATTATAGCTATTATTACTTGATGTGTATCATATTATAATACAAGTAGTTTCTTAATAGTCGAATTTCATTTTTATTACAACATATAAACTCTATTAATTTATTTTTGACTTGAGCGTAAACTCTGATAAATGAGTTGAGTAAATGTCTATTTGCTGAATTAACAGAGTTTTTCCGTTAATTTGCATGAAAAAATCAAATACGGAAACCGTAAATTTTACGGAGAAAGTGCTGTCTCTTTGTTGCCTGACATTCTCCGTTATTTTGTGCGGAAAAAATGAAATACGGAAACCGTTAATTTTTACGGAGAAAAACTTTGCTGCCGGACAATCTTCGTAGATTCCACGGCGAATTTTTTAACAGTGTGCGTTAATACCACCAATAAATCTAAACTGCTACCTCTTTATCGTCAGCAGAAGCATGATGCTCGTTTTATCAATTATAAAGATCGATTTGCTCATGCCAAATTATTATTATTTCAAATGACGGTAGTGGTGTAGTGGTATGCGGTAGTGGTGTAGTGGTAAAGCGCTCGCTTCATAAACGAGTGGTTCCAAGTTCGATCCCCACCACGTCCCTGGTAGTACCGCACTCAACTTGTTTCTCCGCGCAGCGGCCTTGTTCGTCAAGATTCGTGTTTCGGAGTTATAGAGTTGAGAGAAGGTTATAACCACTAATAAGTAGCCTCCTCGTCTGTAGTGGCCTTCTCGGCCTTGAGGAGGTGAATTAAAATTAAAAAAAAAAAAAAAAAATGAAAATTCTTAATATTTATCAGTTGAACATTTATAATATAGTTTATGTACAAATGTAAAACCAACGCATTTCCTGTTTCTTTGCATAATCTATATCATTTCTATCATGTTGAGTACTTATTTTGTTAAAACAATAATACCTCCAAGGTACAACATAAGTACCTCCAAGGTACACCACCGGTGTTGTACCTTGGCTGAAGTGGAAGCTATTTTTAAAAACTAAACTAGGGGATGAAAAAATATGTTTGGATGTTTAATAAAAAATCCTAAAGTAACTAATATAATCAAGGTAAAGAAAATATATTGTTTCAGATCATATTGTAAGTGTTTTTTCTTATATTTGAAAAAGTTTAAAAATACCTCTGAGGTACACCACTCTCCCTTACCTTGAAAGATAAAAATAGATATAACTTAATAAATGATAACAATTTGGCAACCTTTTTCTCTAACTAATTTTGGAAAGTCATGTATTTTATTTTGAGAAGCTTTTCTTTAGAACAAAATAGTTTTGAAAAATTTTGATTTTTCCATGAATGGAATTATCTTTCATTCAAGAAAGTACTGAAAGAAATTATTTTATCTTTTGAAGATAAACTTTTTTTATTTTTAAATTCTTCTGAAAATGAATATGAAGCTTATTACATAAGGAAATATATAATAGTATATCTGATCCACATTTTATGTGTTTATGGAAACTTTTTAAAATATTTTTGTATTATATATAAAAGTATCAAGAATTTCTATATAAAAATTTTATTTATACATTCTTACGAAATTTATGTTCGATATAAAGATATAGTTGATGTTAACCACAGGGCCGTCCCGAAGGGGGGTGCCCCCCCCAAACTTCAAAGCTGTCATATAAGCATTTGAGTTGGCACATTGAGCAAGTTTTGCTCAATGTGAAATGCTTTTTGAGTTGATATAATAAATATAGTTGGCAAAATGCCAACTGAAATGCTTTTTGAGTTGTTATTTTGGCAACTATATTTATTAATATAGTTGACATTTTGCCAACTATTTATACTAAATTTTGCCAACTATTTATATTAAAGTTATAGTTGGCAAGTTTAAATATAAATATAGTTTGCTATATTTATAGTTGGCAAATTGCAAGTATTAAGAACCTTTTTTTTTTTTTTTTTTCTGTGGCCTTAGTTAGCAAAAAAGTACTTACACCCTCCCATGGAAGACCTCTTCGGGACTGCCCTGGTTAACCATATCTATATATAGATACGGTTAAAGAACTATATCTAAATATAGATACGGTTAAAGAACCATATCTATATATAGATACGGTTAAAGAACCATATCTATATATAGATACGGTTAAAGAACCATATCTATATATAGATACGGTTAAAGAACCATATCTATATATAGATACGGTTAAAGAACCATATCTATTATAGATACGGTTAAAGAACCATATCTATATATAGATACGGTTAAAGAACCATATCTATATACAGATACGGTTAAAGAACCATATCTATATATAGATACAGTAAAAGAACTAAAACTTTGTCATTGATTAATTAATAAAAATATATGCGCGAGAATTTTATTAACAATTACAACAGAAAAAATTAGTGAGAAAACAAAACCTGTTTTGTTATTTTAATGCAAACATAAAATAATATTTCATAAAGAAAGCTTAATCTACCTAGCAACAACCTTAGTCTAAAAGATAATATTCGCTATAATAATTTACTCAACGCAGGTAAAATAAATAACACTAGACTTTAAGATCTTGCAAAACCATTTTAGAATTCGCAAAGCAAAAATTTTCAGAGCAATTTTTGCAAAACAATTCGGGGAACTAGCCAAAATTTTAGTAATCCTCGTAGTTTTCTTTTTAAATTCCTCTCCCCTTTTTATTTTTTAAACTTATAAGCTTGAAATCGATCGTCGAAGGTATCGATATCTGCCGTTTTAATCAGAAATCCGGCTTATTTTTCCATTAAATACTTTTAAATTTTGCAAAAATTGTAGTTGTTTTTAAATATTCAAATAATGGTTTTTAATCAATAGTTGTCAATTATTGGTTGTCTACAATTATTAAACAGTAAAAATACAGGCATCATATTGATAATTTTTGGAACTACTATACGCCGCTTGGAATCAGTTTAAATATGACTAAACTAATACAATGGCTTCTGTTAAGTGGTGTTTTTGGTATTTTTTACATGGCTGCTTTATTAGATTTTCTTCCTGTCCAGTTTTCTGATGAAAATAAGTTCTTTATATTAATAGTGAGTAATTTAAATGCATTATTGATTTAAGTTTTGATAACTTTATAGAATATTTATATTATATAAAGTAATAATATAAGTTATATTAACTCAAAATTTAAACTTAAAATTAATGTTAAAATTAACTGTCAGATTGCTATTTTATGCATCATATGAAATTAGATTTAAAAGTATTGACAAAAAGTCAGGTAAACATGAAACATTCAGGTACATGAAAATATTTAATTGTAGATAATAAGTCAAACTGAAGAGCTTAGTGATAAAAGTACTTATGTCACAAAATAAATGTTTAAAAAAAATCTACTTTGATCAGTCATTTTAAATTTTTGAAGTATTCTTGTTTTTCTTATTTTAAAGTGTTATATTTTGATCAAATTATATTTTCTCATAACATTTATTTTGAGACTTAAGTTCTTTTAGCACTAAGCTCTTCAACTACCATTTGCCAAATTAGGATTGCAATATGTTGTAAAGTAACTGATCAAAATATCCATACTAGGATGTGGATATTTTGATCAGTTCTGAAGCATACACACTAATTTGAATGATGGTTTCAAATTTCAGTTAAAGTTTCCACAAATTTGCCTAACAGATTTTATATCTTATATACAAATTAAAACAAAAAAACAAAAACAACAAAAAAAAAAAAACATTTTTTTTCATTATGTTTATTGTATTGAGCACATTGAGCCTAAAATTTAAACATTGTTTTTAAATGATATAACATCTTTAAATCTTTAGTTTTTTAAAAAAGATTTTTGCTTCTAGAAAGCGAATTTTATATGCTTATTTACTTACCCATTTAAACACTGACATTTTTCCTTTTTAAACATTATGTTAGTATTTTATTAGTTTGTTTTTTATGTCTATCAAATCTAAAGATGGTGGTTTTGGCAATAATTTTGATCAATAGTAATAAGTCAATAATATTGACTTAAATAAAAAGTCAGAGTGTTTTTAAAAAGATATGTTTTTAAAGCTCTCTCTTGCACGTCTCAAGTACAATTTGTCTTTCTGTTCCAGATTTCAACAAAAATTAAATAGAAAGGTCTCTTTAGTAAACAAGCAGAAACTTGATTCAAATCTCATTGTAAGGTTCTCTTTGTATTTTTAAATATGAGGAGAAAATCTTTTTGTATTTATGTATGTATGTTTGTTGCACATACAAACCTAAATATGAAGATGTATTTATACAGACTGAAACAGGAGAGCTGACAAGGTGTCACACACACAAACACATATGTTAAAATGAAAAAGGTTGGCATAATAATTTTTCTACATTTTAATTAGCCAGGTATGCCAAAAGATAACTATATAATTGCAGAATACTGTGTAAAAATTAGAATGTTTTATAAATAGTTGAGCTAATCCTTTCCTGTTTTTTTATTTTATTTTATTATATTTCTTAACATTAGAACAATATTGTTAGATGAATATCTAGATAATATATTAAATATTCATCTTAAGACTAAGTCTATCCAATTAAATCACTTTAACCCAACTCAGTTTAACTCATCTCAGTTTATACATTTTAGCATATCTAGTGTAATCACGTTTTGAGTTAGCTACTGTGAGAGATTTAGGCAACCAGAGTTTTTCATTTCCTGATCAGTGCTATATTCACCTTTGCAAATGCTATTGGACATTTCAACCAGGTATTGCTTATCTGATTTCAAGTCTTTCGGTTCCATATTATATAGTTTTTTGATAAGCTACACTGGTTGTTTGTAGTTATAAAAATGCCTAGAATAGATAGTGCAGGTGCAGTTTCTTAGCATGGTGCAGATACATCATTTTTTCCAGTTATGGGTCTATTTTCAGAATGTTTCACACTAATGACTGGGATATGTCTGTTTTAAAGCCTGATGCTGAAGTAGAGTGGCTGAAGTATGCAGATCCTGACTTTAAAATGATGCATATGTGCCCTTCTGTGATTTTGATGACAATTTTTCGTTATTGATGTCAAGAACTTGTGTCAAAGTTTGATTTTTAGAATCATAATAGAATACTGCCTGAATATCAGTGTGATCAAACTGACCATCATATAGCTAGAATTTTTTGTAAGTTTTGCTGTGTTTGTAGCAGACCTTGCTTCAATCCATAACACTAGGTCAGTTAACTAACTGTGAAAGAATAAGATCATGTAATACTGATCTTATTCTTACACTTAAAAATCTGATAATCTGTTTTTGTAGTTGAGTTTTTTTTTCTTATGAATCTTTTAAAATCTTATGAATTTTGTTGTTTTTTCTTATGAAATTTTTAAGCTCTTATGAATTTTGTTGTATTTGTTGAGGAACAGTTTTTCAGTTGCTTGAATTTGCGATGTTAGAAGTAAAAGCTCTTCTCAACATTTCTATGATTTTATAGCAAAGTTTGTGTGATATGTCTATTAATAAATTATAAATTCCTAATGTTAAGGCAAATTTGAACATTTTTATAAGATCAGTATGGTTTCGCAGGGTATTTGTCTGTAAGTTTTACTATAGCATCAAATAGTGCATTCATAACTTTGTCTTTTGTAATTCTCATTTCTCTGAAAAGTGACAACAGTAATTATTACAAAAATCAATTTGCCTGAGTACTGAAGCAGGGGATGGTACTTTAATTCAGAAGTTACAGAATTAAATTTGTTAGACATAATAGGTAATAAAGATATAATATATATGTATATATATATATATATATATATATATATATATATATATATATATATATATATATATATATATATATATATGTATGTATGTATATATATATATATATATATATATTTGTGTATATATATATTTGTGTGTGTATATATATATTTGTGTGTGTATATATATATATAATATATATATATATATATATATATATATATATATATATATATATATATATATATATATATATATATGTGTGTGTGTATATATATATATATATATATTTATATATATATATTACATTGTATGTATATATATATATATATATATATATATATATACATTATATGTATGTATATATATATATATATATATATATATATATATATATATATATATATATATATATATATATATATATATATATATATATATATATATATATATAAGGCTCAATTTAATTTTTTATAAAGTCCTGGACAAAATGTCCGATCAAAACTTGTTTAGGTTGGACAATGTCCGATAAAATTTTTAGAATATAATTTTTACGGTCTAGTGAAGTTGTAGTATATTTCCTTACAAATAGTATTGCGTACTAAGGTAAGCAACCTGGCGTCATACTGAAATAGCCAGCTGCTGGGCGCTTTAGTACATACATCGACTGACAAATAGCCTGACTCGCAGTGGAGTGCTGCTACATTGACGAGAATTTGGGATGGGGCAGCAATCGTTTCATTCATCATTCTTTGGTTTTTTTTTTTCTTTTTCTAAAAAAGCATATGGATTATATGTAAGCAAAAAAAGTGAGCAAATGCTTATAAAAATACGCTTTAGTAAGTGTATATATTATTTAGAATTACTCATAGTAGATTTTTTTTTTTTTAATCAAATAGTTTTAATTTAATATTCTATGTTTTTTTTTAAATAAGAGTTAAAATTTCACGCTGTAACTGACAAAGCTTTTTTTTTTTTTTTTCTTCACAATTTGACAACGGCTGTTTTGATGTTTTAACAATTTATATGCGACTAGAAAAATTATTACGTTACGAATAACTTTTAATCATTAACCTTTTTTAAAGTTTTTATTTTATGGAAAGGCTTTATTTAAAGCCTTTGCGTAAAATGAAAATTAATCAATAAAATAAAATTAAAATCAAAAGTTAATTATAATAATCTTTGAAAAATAATTGCTTTATGTGTAAATTAAATGATATATTTAAATTTTTATTATTAAGTATTTATTTTTTATGATAAATTTAAAAATTTGAAACTATTTTTTGTCGTTATAAAAATCTTTTAAAAAACTGTTTTTTTAAGTTACTTTAAATTATGATAAATAAGTTAACTTTAAATAAGTTAAATTAAATCTTCCCATGATTTAATTGCTTTAATTTTTTTGTTTCTATTTTTACAAAGAATTGTTAAAAATTGTTTTTTTTAAACTTGAGTTAAATTTATAAAATTAATGCTTGTAATTAAATTTAAAAAAAACTAATTAAATCATGAAATGATTAAAAATTACAATATTAAAAATAAAGTAAAAATATTTAAAAAAAAATTTTTTTAGTAAAAAATAAATTTGTTTATTTATTAAACAATCGATTGAAGTAATTTGTTAAAAGCATTTTGCGTAAATTTTATTAAACGTTTTAAAAGATCAGTTTTTAAGTAATTATTTTAAAATGTAATTGAAAATGTAGCAAAAAGTTATTTCTACTTCGAATTTTTTAAGTTTTATTTTAAAGCTAATTTATTTTCTTTTTGTAAGGAATTGTTTTGCTTATTCTTCAGTTTTTAAATTTTTTTTTTTCTAGTTTTAGTTTACATTAACGTTTCTTTTTTCATCGCATTTTGGAAATGTTTAAATCATCAAAACAGTTGTGGTGAATTGTTGAACAAAAAAAATCATTTGTGGGGTCAGTTTTTGATCGCACACTGTTTCTATCCAAATTTTATTTTGTAAAATTTAATTCTTGTCGGTCAAAATGTCGGATTACTTTGTAAATTGAGCGGACAATCTGAGCCAAACAATGTCAGATGTTAGACTGTTAAATTGAGCCCTATATATATATATATATATATATATATATATATATATATATATATATATATATATATATATATATATATATATACATACATATATATATATATATATATATATATATATATATATATATATATATATATATATATATATATATATATATATATAATATTTATATATATATATATATATATATATATATATATATATATATATATATATATATATATATATATATATATATATATATGTATATATATATATATGTATATATATATATATATATATATATATATATATATATATATATATATATATATATATATATATATCGTGCAGACAAAAAAAATCTGGTAAACTTTAAGTTAAGATTTCTCAAAAAATCATAAAAACTTTATTATTTTGAACTTTTTGTTAATTAAGTACAAAAATTCACTATAATTTTAATATAATTTTATGGAGATTGATGGGTTGCTTTGCAAGAGATCGAACAGGTTAAAAAAATGGATGAGGGTTTTTTTTCTATCACCTCATTGGTAGCATTAATCAACTTTTTCTGAAAATTTTATTTATTTGTAGTCACTTCGCATATCTTAAAAAGAATTTTCTTAAATATTGCCTTACAACATTCATTATCATGCTCTTTTTGTATGGTTAGCAGGATTTGCATCTTTAGGAACAGTTTCCATATTATTATCTTTGCACATGGAATAACAAAAGTCTTTTTTTGAGGCATTCTTTGATTCAGAGATTGGCATTCAAGATCTTCTTAGTGACAAAACAAGAGGAATTCATACCACAGCTACAAAATGCTCGCCACACCATAAACTTAGATGCAAATTTTTTCTTGCCATATATATTTTAATTCATCGTTAACATGTTTATCTTTGTTCTCATAGTAAAATTGTAGACCAGGATTTTGTAAAGATTTTGTATTCCTATATGTTTTGTTGTTTTCAATCATGAAATCAATTTTATGCACATTAAATTCCTTTTAATTTCTCTAAGATTTTCTTAGGTGCATTTATCTTATGAAATGCTTTAATTTCAGCATTTTTTTAAAACACTTTTTGGGCATAAGTAAAGTCTTTAATTTTTTTTATTAAGCTGAGAATCAGCTTAATAAAAAGAGATTAGTGCTAAAAGTACTTAAGTCACAGAATAAATGTTTTAAGAAAATCTATTTTGATCAGTCATTATTTTGAAATGTTATATCTTTGATCAAATTATATTTTCCCATAACATTTATTTTGTGACTTAAATACTTTTAGCACTAAGCTCTTTACTTTACCTTTGTAGATTTATGGAGTATTTCTTTTCTTCCATTTTTTGGTTGTTTTTTTTTATGTTTTGAATAATCTTAAACTTAGTTATGTTTATGACCGTCGATTTTGGTACATATATGTGTTCAGCATTGTGCAACATAAAATGTATTTTTTTGAAGATTTAAAAACTTCTTTATGCATTTCAATTTGTTTTCACAATGCTTTGAAAATTTTGGATTTGTAAACAAAAGTTTAGTAACAATTAAAGATTACGAAGTTTGTTTTATTTTTACTAAAGTTTACTAACACAATTAAAGATAAAAAAGTAACATTGAGTTTAAAAAAATTTAGAAGTAAAAAAAAAAAAAAAGTTTTTTTTTTTCAGAGAATACACACATACACACACACACACACACACACACACACACACACACACACACACACACACACACACACACACACACAAAATTCTAAAACAATTTCATTTTGAATTAAATTAAAATTTATATTTTAATATAATTCAAAATTATATATGAATACATATATATATATATATATATATATATATATATATATATATATATATATATATATATATATATATATATATATATATATATATATATATATATATATATATATATATATATATATTTATACTATATATATATATATATATATATATATATATATATATATATATATATATATATATATATATATATATATATATATATATATATATATATATATATATATATATATATATATATATATATATAAATATATAAATGTATATAAATTTATATGAGGAATAACAAAAGTCTTGTGCTAAAATGTTATATAGATTTAATGTGAAGATGACTTAGAGTTTATTAATAGTTTTTTTTTTTTATTTAGTCGCCTGTATTATTGTTGGCTCTCTTTGGGGTATGTTAATTTTTCAACTAGAAGTGTTACATTTTCTAAATTTGAATCAATTGATGTTATTTTTTATTGTTAGAGTCAATTAAGTTTTATTTTTAGTCACGCATGACCATGACCCATAAAATCTACAGCATGCGTACACTTTGATTTCTGTACACTAACTAGGTTTCAGCATTCTTTAGATGAGTGATGATGGTATTATAATAATTCACTTAACATGCCAAAATAGTTTTTTTAAAACCCTTAGATACCTTGATTTCTTTCTTATTAATATATGTTATTGTTACCACTATTGTTTTCATTGTTGTATATTCAGCATTTTATGCTGATTTTGCAGCAGTGGATTTACTACAACTAAAAATGATTAACCATAATGCTATAATCTTTTTTTCTGAAGTTTCTTCGGTTAAACACTTTTTAATTATTTTTTTTTTACCTTTATTACCTAAATCATTTTCAAGTAAAAAACAAAAACAAAAGTAGAGATAGATTCATCTTTACATGCTGACTTTTCTAACTTCCCCTTTCTTTAGGTCTGCATAGTATACCTAATTGATCCTTAGGATTATCACTTTTTTATTTGTTTCACTATTTTATCATAACATTATATATGTTATCATATGTTTTATTTGGTTATGATTTACTGTTATAACTCTTGTGAACCCAATGAAAACTATTGAGTTTATATTTAAAAATTGTTTTATGTTTATAGTTTGTTTCTGTTGTTATTATAATGTACCGTGTTGCAACTTTTAATGATTGTATTGAAGCTGCTAAAGAACTAAAAAGGGTAAGAGAAAAATTACAATTTTTATAAATTTTTGAACACAAAGTACTGCATTTTTGATAAATGTTTTTATGAAAGCCTGCAATAACATATTTAAAATTTTATTTAGGAATGTGAAGAAGCAAAAAAAGATCTGATGTCAAAAGGAATTAAATTTGATTGATTAAAGAAATAAAATTATAGAAAAATTTTTTTTTTTATATTTTATCTCAAGAACCCTTCTTCAGAATGTTCTAGAATCTTCCTAAAATTTCTGGTATTTTCTAGAACCATCCACTATCTGAAATCTTGTGGAAACTTCAGAAACTTCAGAAATTTCAGGGGGCTTCAAGTTTTTTGAATCTTCTGAAACCTATGTATGTATATATATATATATATATATATATATATATATATATATATATATATATATATATATATATATATATATATATATATATATATATATATATATATATATATATATATATATATATATATATATACTATGAATGATGCTCTTTTTCTTTCACTTTCAGGTTTATATTTAATTTGTATTTAATTTATATAATTATTTTTTTTATTTTTATTATTATTGTGTTATTAGCAATTTTGTCAAGTGAAGTATTTATTTGTTTATATTAATTATAAATTATTTTTTGCATTATTACATAACATTACTTTGTGCTTTGAGAAAAACATCTTTTCCAATAAATTAGAATTTAAAATATATTGAACTTATAAAGTTGGTTTATGGTTTTAATAGTTAAAACATGATTTTTAGTTTAAAATTGTTATTTATTTAGATATTAATATGATATAAAAAAAATGTCTCGTTTGATGAAAACAATTCATTTTTTATCAAAAAACAGTGTTTTATTTAAAAATGACTTAAGGGTTTTGCAAGGTGATGCTTTTTCTATCATAATTATGTATAAATTATAAAATTCTTTAGTAATTTTTATTAAAACATCTTGAGGTTTTTATTTATATCTCTTAGGTTTAAGTTTAGTGTGCGGAAGAAATTATGCTTTGAAGTATGTTGATCCAACAAGATATAACATTGATCATGTAAAAGTTATCAAAGATGAAGATCCGGTATATTATCTTATAATATTGTTTTATCATTTCATTTTGTTTTCTATCATTTTATCAATTCTATTACAAGTGTTTTAGTATTCAATTCTTTTACAAGTGTTTTAGTATTCAATTCTTTTACAAGTGTTTTAGTATTCCAATTGTTATGAGTATTACAAATTTTTATTCTATTCTGAGTGTTGTAGTAAAATTTATTAAATTTTTATGCATGAGACAGTAATAGACATATTTTCTGAATTACTTAAAATGTAATAGCAGTGAAGTGATAGAGCAATTACTTTGTAAGCAAGAAGTTTTGAATTCAAAGCATCATGTCCCTAGAAGTTTTGAACATTTAAATCCTTTTTTTTTTAAAAAAAAAGTATAATTAAAATTCAGCCCAAGTGTGACTATTTCTAATTGGGATTTTTGCATGTGAGTTTGTTATTAAATACCTAATAAACCTAAAACCAGTTAAATAAAAATTGGGTGCAAATTTACTACATTGTTTGTGCCACAGTTCACTGTGATGTCAGTCCACACGCGTGGGAGCTGTAGAGGCTGCTATAATGAAGCTTAGAGGTCAAAGCTGTCATTAGCAAAAAGCCGCCACTTGTACCTACTTTTTACAGCCACCACTTTGCGTTATTAGCAACTACTAAGCCACCAATCGAACAATATATTCAGCCGCAGCTGTTTTCAAAGTCACTATTGTTGGCTGGAAGAAAAAAAAGAAGAGTTTTACAACCCAAAGTTCTCTTGTATAACTTAAAACAGCAAGTTATTTGGAGCATCTTTTTTTGTGTGTGTAGCTTTTCAATTTTCTATTTAAATTTTCTCTGAGATAAAATAGTAACGATGCACTCCTCCTTCTATATATAAGTACATCAATGTCCGCTACTTCTTTCATACTTTAAATATTCTTGGCTTATAAAGATTTTTTATCGCTCTAACTTTTTTCTAAATTTTTCAACATAAATTAGCTGAATTAAACACAAACAGAGTTTGTTTTACTTAGTAATGGGTCAAGTAGAATCTCGTATTTCACATAACAGTTCTTTAAAATACCTGAACATTGAACTGTGCAGCTCATTTAAAAAACAACCACAGATTCATCATTAGTATGGAAATACTATGGTCAAATATTGACACAAAATTGTAAAGTTATCGGCAATGAACATTATTACTGTAGCAAATGTTTTTGATTGGAAAAAAAATGTTGAGTCCTCAAGTGCAGGTCATTTATTGAAAATTCAAAAGGTTTCCACATCAAGCAGTAATTTGAAAAATCATCTATTTTTTGTTCACAAAATATTAACAGACAAACCTGCCGTTGAAGTGAAAAATGATCAACTTTTATGTAGATGGTGTGTAGTAGCTCTATAGCTAATTCATCAAAATATGATTTAAGTTATGATCTTGTCCTTTGGTTTTCTACAGATCTACTACCATTTTCTAATGTTGATAATGAAGGATTTAAAAAGTTTTTTGAAAAAAACATTGGGTTAAAGCTTCCCACAGGTTCTGCTGTGAGTCAAGTAGCATTACCTGATATGTACAAATCTTTGAGGTGATCTTTATTGGAAAGTTTAAAAAATATTGATGCAGCAACAAATTTATTTGATGGTTCCTTAGAAAGTCATACAGGTGAAAATTGTCAAAATTTTATCAAAGACATTGTTTAAGAATTTTTTCAGAGGCGTTGTAGAGATATGAGACTACATACTGTGCACGACAGTGCAGCAAATATGATGAAAACCTCTAAACTTTTAGGCTCAAAGGATGTACAATATTGTCTGGCTCATATCTTGCATTTAATATTGACATGTGGAGGCATAAATAATTATACTGAAACAAAAAGTTTGTTGAAAAATGCAGATGAATTGTAACCTGCCTGAACTTCAAGTCAACTTTACTTTTAGAGGAATCACATCGTGAAGCCGACATAAAATTATACAACAATCTTCAAATTCTTGCTGAAGTGAAAGACATTGATGATTTCGAGCAGCAATTTCCCATTCAAATTTATGATGAAGCAAACATGATTGAAGCAAACAATTTAGATATTGCTTGTAAAGAAAAATTTGATGATTATTTCATAAAAAGACAGCATAGAAGTCTGAAACAGCAAATACGCACAATATGGAACAGTGCTCTCTTTATGATAGAATCAATTACCAATTATTAGATCCTGTAGAAATTTTACATAAGAAATGTGGTAGACAAGACCTTTGTTTAGATAATGATGAACAAGCCTTGATTTCAAAATTGGTTAAATTTTTAAAACCATTTGAATCATTAACCCTTGTGGTCAGTGCTGGAAATCGCTTTCTATTTTGCCATTAGTTAAACACAAAATGCTAAAAATTCTATCAATTAATTCTTGTGATTTGAATGAAATAAAAAAACTAAAGGAATGTTGCTCCAAAAAAATTGACCAAAGAATTAAGTTATCAACTTCTGCAAAACTATGCAGATATTAAATTGATTTATCTGATTTTAGTTATACCAGATTTAGAAAATGATAAAGAATCAAAATCAGGTTCTAGTGCTAAGCAACAACTACTTCAAGAGATAAAGAAAAGTGTTATTTCTGCTCAAAAAAATTATCGAATTGATTCGGAAGTAGAGCAATTTATCTCTCATACACCTATGACAGATGAAGAACTGGATTGTTTTGGCGAAATCATCATGCAAAGTATCCACACTTAGCAGTGCTTGCAAAAGAGTATTTTAGCATACCAACCTCGAGTGTATCAGTGGAGTCCATGTTTTAATTAACTGGATTGATTTTGAACTCAAGAAGAAGCAGTTTATGTTCTTCCAACATGAACATGACTATCTTTATTCATGACAATATCAGTCTTATTTGATTTTTAATTTTAATTGAAAAAAAAAGTTGTCTTAATTTAAACTTAAATTTGTTTTCTTTTTGTCCAAAACATACTAGTTATAATTCAGAGCAATTTGCGCAGCCAGAAGCCAGCAACTTTGTTTGTCAGCCAGTATCAGCTAGTTGGCCAAGTTGCTCAGGTTTTAGCCACCTGCTAAAACTGTCAGTCAGCAAGTGATATGTTCTAAGCACGGCTTTAAACTCTAATGGAGCTAGTAAAAACCCCTATTACAGAGAAGCAATTGAGGATAGCCACATGCAATCATCCCATATTAGGAGTGGTTCTAAATAAAGTGTTAGATGGGGGATTGATGATGGAAGAGAGTAAAGTGGAACCATACACTGAACTGGAACCATATACTGAAAGTGGAAACCATATACTGAATATGAAAGTGGAAACCATATACTGAACTGGAACCATATACTGAAAGTGGAAACCATATACATGAAAGTGGAACCATATACTGAAACCATACACATCTAGGTTTCCTGAGTTATCATTTTTTTGTTGTGGAGGCGAAGAGTAGTGGTGTCAAGAGTGTTATGAGAAACAGAGTTAAAAGAGTTACATGAGGTTCATCCAGGAGCGAGTTAAGTGAGTGCTTTAGCTAGAAGTTATGTCTGGTGGCCCGGAATCAATTCCAAAGTTGAGAACAAAGTAAAGAATTGTGAGACCTGTCAAAGAAATCAGAATTGTCCATTAACTGAGTCTCATTTGTGTGAATATCCAAGTAGACCATGGGAGAGATTACACATTTATCATGCAGGTCCAATGAATAGAAAAATATTCTTAGTAGTAGTTGACAGTTTCTCGAAATGGACTGAAGTAGAATTTGTAAAAAGCACTGAAGCTAAGGCAAGAATTAGGGTACTCAGGAGGTTGTTTTTAACACATGGTATATCTAGAGTTATTGTCAGTGATAATGGATCTGGGTTTGCGAGTGAAGAATATAAGCAGTTTTTGACTTCAAATAATATTAAACGAGATGCAATTGTGTCGCTTCCTTTTTAAATATCACTAAACACCACATTGTACAACTGGAGTTTCTCCAGCTGAACATTTATTAGATAAAAGATTAAGAAATCCATTGTTGATGCTGCTTCCTGAGATCATCACCAAAATCAACGAAAAGTAGCTTCCAGGTATTTTTAATAATAGAAGTCATTTCTTTAAACCTGAAGACCTTGTTTATGTAAGGAATTATATTGGGAGTGAGAAATGGGTTTTAGCCATTATTTTATTGGCAGTTGAAATGTTAACTACAAAGTGTTGACGTTGGATAAGCGTATTCAGGTTAGACATGCAGGCTAGATTGTAAAACGTCACAATAAATTGTTAAGCAATCAAATACCTGAAACAACTGAATTGTCAGTTTCAAGTGAAAACGTGTTTCATGAATGCGACCTGATTTACAAGGATATTGATCCCAACAGAGTATGTGAACAGCTAGAAAGTAAAGAAGTTGGTCCCGAGAGACCTAGTGAACAACCTGGACCATTTTCCAGAAGATTTAATGTTAATAAGATTCTATATAAAGTTAATTTGAAAAAAATTTGATATCAAGAAAGAAGATAGTAGATTATATGCATAAAAACAACTTAACACCTTCAACAATAGAACTAACAAACAAGTTTATAAAGTCTGTTAAAAGTATATCCCAAAGATATAAGCTATACCTTAACAAGAGAGAAAGAATACTAAGCAAAATAAACGCAATCATCAGTTAGAAATTGTTACCAAAGAAATCAGTGATGTAGAAAAAAAATTTCTACTAGATTCCTGCAATAATTTAGATATTGAGTTAATTAACATCATAAAATAGGCGGATGAAAAAAATGAAATGAGATTAGTAATTAAAGAAAACGGTTTGAAAAAGAAGATCGAAGAAAAACGCGTTGAAATTAAAATTTATAAAAAGTAGTCGAAATTTCGAAAGAGAAAAGGAAGAAATTAATTTTTATGATAAACTTTTTTTGTTCAATTTTTATAATATAGTAAAAAGTTCTTTTATTCAATACGTGTGAATGCATATTATAGTTAACGAGACAGGAGTAGTTTTTTTTTGAATGAATAAGGAGAAACAGTTGGTTTTTGGGAAAAAGTCAGGGAAATTACTTATGTTTTTGATTTAAGTCTGGGAAATCTTTCATTAAGAACCTATATAAACCCTGATAATGTATAAATATGAAATATAATACGATATAAAATGTAAGCGAAAATTATATTCTCTTTAAAAAAAACCTATATGTTATTAAATTAATTATTACTATAACTTATTAATTATTACTGTAACTTATTAATATATTGCTATAAGTTAATAACTCATGTCAATTATTAGTTTATATAAAATAATAACTTTTCAGTATATTACTAACTTAATCTCTGTTAAAAAAACATACAATATTATTTTTTTTAAATTTGAAGCCAACTTTAAGAAAGTATTTTTTTCTCCAGCTAGCGGTAAATATAATTGAGAAACATGGTAAAGCATGGCACATATGTGAGGAAGGTCGAAACGCATCTATAGCACACACTGTCAGTGGGGATTTTGACTTAAATAACGGCTTATTAAGAGAGATGTCTTTATATTTTGCTGATATAATAAATCAAGAGGAACTAGAGAGCAGAAGTTTGTCGTATTTCTTGTTTTTGTTTTAAGTAAATCCGTTCTTGAATTTTATTCTTGTTTCAATATAACATGTCCTATATGGATAGATGCCATGTATGGAGTATATGACATGTTAATATTCAATAGTTTGTAATAATATACGAATATCCTTATTATATTTAATGGATTTACGTTGATTTACTCGTTTTTACAAATAGAATCTCCTCTGGGAAGTATAGTACCAATTAAAAATGGCGACCATTTCTTGTATTTTTTGGTGAGATTTTTTTTTATTTAAGTAATTATTACAGTAGTTACGATGAAGTATATAAACTATTGTTTAATTTTAGGTAATAAGAGAAAATTGGTGGGATCGTGGCGCATATAGACCAATGCGTGAATCTTTAGAAGCTCTTCGTGTACATGCACTTAATAATAATGTTAAAACTATTGCTATTGGTAGACTGGGAAGCCAGAATGATGGGCTTGATTTTGGAGTGATTATTAAAGACATAAAAAAAATATTTTATGATAGTGGAATTACATTAATTATATATCCGAGAAGAACATAAAACATTTTATCTTTTTTTTTTTTTTTTTTAGTATTGTTAACTTACTTAAATTTTTTAAATCTCAGTTTACAATAAAAAGAGATAAACAAATAGATAGATAAATAAAGAATGATAAAATATTAGTATTAACAGAAGTAAAAAATTTAATAAAAGTAGATGCAGATAGATAAAGAACCCCAAAATGTTAACCAAAAACCGAAGGATCACGAGTAGAATAAAAAATTTCAATATTAATTTGTAGAATTTATTTAATTGCATTTTTTTCAACAAATAATTAAAAGCTTGATTTTAAATTCAGAGAATTAAGAGATTTTAGATCAGGAGGTAGTTTGTTCCACGAGCTAATACATTGATATTAAATAGATTTATTTCTATCTTTAGCAGGGTGGTATATTAGAATAACTAAGTTTAAGCTAATGATGGAACGAAGAGAATAGTGACATGACACAATGGAGTGCTACAATAGTACTCCATTGTGTCATAAACAATTATAAAAATTATATCTTTCAATATTTACAGTCAAGCATATTTATGTAAATATAATACTAGGATTTCTAATTTCAATACAAAGCCATTATTTAATGACGCTAAAAATGGCATTTAAATTTTATTTAATTTATTATCTGGATTTCTGAAATGTGATTTAGATCATTAAATTCATTATTTGAGTTGTAATTATTAATTTGTTTGACTTTTAAGTAAAAATCTGCCTATTCTCTAAGTTTTATTCTTTTTATTTACTTTTTTTTAATGATGCTCAAAGTTTTTTAACAATTTTTACTTTAAATTGTCACACAAGTTTAATCTGTTATACTTTTTTAAATATTAAATTTGATTTTGTAGGTATAGATTTATTCTACAAATTTAATTTAATATATTTAGCTCATTTAAATGCTATTTAAAATCACAATACAAATCACAATAAAAAGAGTTCAAATTCCGCGTAACTACTATTTATAAACATCCCTTTTCTTTTATGCGTTTCACAACTAAATTCTTCAATCCCTTTTTGTCAAGCAACTTCAATCCATTTTGTAATTTATTGTATAATTTTATACCGTTGCAAATAATTGACTTTTGTCCACTTTTCTTTTTTTGATATTTTAAGTGATAATTTGCTGTATTTTTTGTGCAATAATTATGTATTTCGATGTTTTTAATAAGAAAATTCTTGGAAGGCATCCATTTTAAGTAGTTGAATTGTATTGTGTATGAAAGTCAATACTTTTACTTGAATATTTTATCTTTTACAGATGGCCAGTCTATTCTAAACAGCATGTCTTTACTATGTGTGAACCAGTCACATTTTAAGATTGTTCTCATAGCTTTGTTTTGTAGCTTCTGTAGTTTTTTTATATCATTTACACTTGCTTCTAAGAATAATGAGGCACAATATTCAAAATGAGGTGCAATAACTGTATTAAAAGTTAATATTTTTGTCCACCTTGACAAATATTTAGCGACTCTGGTAAAATACCCAGTAATCTTAGCAATTTTATTTGCAATAAATTTAATGTGTATAGAAAAATTCAAATTCTTGTCAATTTTAATACCCAGGTATTTGAGAAATTCACTGAATTTAACTCTTTCACTTTCCAAAATAATATATACGTTAGGATATTTTATAGTAATACTCGAGTATTTCACTTTAGAGCTTGTAATTAGCATACCCATCGACTTACTTGCATTCAGTTTCATTCCATTTCCATTAAACCAGGTAGCAAATACTTCGAAGTCAGAATTTAATTTCATCATAGATGCTTCGTAGTTATTACCTTCAATGCAAACTAATGTGTCATTTGCAAAGAGGTTGATGTTTACATATCTGGTACAACTGTTAATATCATTCATGTATATTATGAATAACATTCATGTACATTATGAATAACAAATTAAACCAATCGCGTAAAAAAATGGGTGTATTTAGAAAATTGTAATGAAGCAAAAACCAAAAGTGTATCATGGTGCCCCACTCTCCTCTATTTTACTTCTTTCAAAAGGAAACAATTTTTAATCAAATAAGTTTTTAACAACTACAAAACTTTTAAATTACTTATTTGATGTAAATTATATAGAGTGTGAACTGCGAGCAAAGGGCATACAAGATGTATTTCCAAAACGTATCGTTTGTCAGAAAGATCAAGCTAAGAAAAAGATCAGTACAGTCTTGTTGCAACTATTCAATTGTGTAAAGACAAAAATTTTGGATTTGAAACAGGGCTGTGGAGTCGGAGTTGCGGAGTTGCAACATTTTTAGCGGAGTCGGAGTCGCTAAACAAAATCGCGACTCCGACTCCAATAGTAAAACTTCTCGGTATTGCACGTGCATGTACAAAACATTCAATTAACCTTATGTTCATACTAAACCTCAAAGAACGTTTTTAAATTTGTTAAAAATTTTTTTTTTATTTTATAGCGTAATATTTTTTAAAGAATTCAAAGATTTTTTCAAAAATTTTGCTTTGGAGTCGGAGTTGGAGTTGGAGTCGGAGTTGTACTCAAAAAATTTCAACAACTGGAGTCGGAGTCGTTACTTTTTTTTTTTTTTTTTTTAATCTATTTTAGAACTTTTTCTTCGTTTATACTTTTATATTATCTTCTTTAATTTTAGTTAGTGTAACTTTTTTTTTGTTCATATTAATAACACGAATCAACATAAAGATTTATTGCATTAATGTTGACACTTGTTCTTAATCTTGGTACGCTGAATTTAAATCTGACATCAGATTTTTAAGGTAAGTAACAGATTTTCTGCAAATTTTACTTTTCAAAAGTTTAGGTAGTTGACAAAATTTTCAAATTATTTCTCTAAAGTAAATTTGAATTCATTTACTAGGGTATAGTATAAATGATTTAAATTTTTTCTCAATTTGAAATAAAAATAGAAAACTGTTGAATATATAATTTTTATGCTTTGCAAGATAAAAATGGGGTTATATCAAATTAAAAATGGGGTTATATCAAAAAATATCTAACTTGTTCAAGCACGGAAAAAAGGATGCTAAATCAATGACGATGATAATGATGAACTAAATTAAGAAGAGACCTGAGTATTGAGAAATAAATATTTAAAATTATTTATTGTAATTTAATGTAAAAATATATATATACTTAATATCATTAAAATTTTTTTTTTTTTAAATACCATTTAACTTTTTGTTGATTTATAAAAAAAAAAAAATGCTAGTTTTAGTTTTGAAAATGATTTCAGACGATATTGTTTAACAAACAATATTTATTTGAGAAAAAAACTTTTGTTTGTTGCTCTTTCTTTTATATACTTTTCCTGAATCATCTTGATTAATGCCCCTACAGTAGTCTATCATCATGTATTTTTCCCAACGTCATTGGGAATACAATCTTCGGGGAGTATTGGTAAGGCAAATTTTGTCTTTTTTTAGCCCCGGCCATGGAGACTTTGCTATGTATTCTTTTTTACTGACGAAATAACTAAATCTTCAATTGTCTTAAGATCTTGATGAACTCGCTCTCCTTGTTTTTTTATTTATATCCCCAAAATTTTCAGAAAACTGTTTAAAATGCATATTCATATAAAAAAGTTTCATTTTACATCCAAAGTCACAAAAGTTTTATATTCAATTTAAATCCAAGATCACAAAAGTTTTATATTCATTTAACATCTAAGGTCACAAAAATTCTATATTCATTTTACATCCAAGGTCACAAAAGTTTTATATTCATTTTATATCCAAGGTCACAAAGTTTTATATTCATTTTACATCGAAGGTCACAAAAGTTTTATATTCAATTTACATCCAAGGTCACATAAGGCTTTTAACATTTAAATCTGCATATTTTTTAGCTTTCTTATTTCTTATAAAGTATTGAATTTGTGACCCCTCAAAAATTACAGCTTTTATTTCTCTTATGACAAATCTGGTAATGTTTTAAATACTAAAAAGCAAATACTAACATTTACTAATTACTGAAAGCAAATATTAACATTTACTGAATCATGGCCTACTTTATACGTATATATGTATAAAGTAGGCCATGACTGAATACTAAAAGCAAATATTAACATTTTTTGGTACTTTAACAAATTGTTTCATGAAAACAAGTTTAGAATGGAGTGGTAGAAAATCCTTTTTTATTTCTGCAAAAAATCAGTTCATGCACAATACTTGACATGCCCACAATGAGAGTGTTGCAAATTAACCATTCTTTTTGTATCCTGTGCTTTATCGCTCGATTATTTTACATGCATAGATAACATAGAAATTTAGTAAAACCTTGCTGCTGACCAAGAAAGAAGTTAATCATTTTTAGATCTACACAAATAATCCAGTTGTGTTCTAGATCTTTTAATAAACTTAAGCACAATTTTAATGCCATAGTAAGTCTTTGCAAATTAACAAATTGGCCGATTGTTACCGAACCAAAAATATTAGCATTATTCAAAGGGACAGATATTAGGCTTCACTTTGAGCTATCGATAGAAAGTCTCCATTCTGTCGGATTATATACAAAGATAGTTGGAGATCTGAAGTATCGTTACAAAAAATAAATGAATGTTCTGAAAAAAAATTAAACAAATAATTTCTTTCTTTTCTAAAGTAGGAAACTTCTCCAAAGCTGTCTAGAAGGTTGTTTCCTTTAATCGACATACAGAATACATGCTTTGTTCATCATCTGACAAAAATAAACCTTTACAAATTGGAATGGGAATATTTTCAGAAATATTTTCTTAAATTGGTTTTAAAGCAGAAGGAATTTTGGGATAAGCTATTTTTTTGACACTTTATTTTTCCAATATGTATACTCTCCACACTTTCTTTTTGTCCAATCTCAAAGACTCTCTTCGCAAATATGGCACAGTATATAGAGCCCACTTTTGATCATAGTCACCAAGTTTAATATCGAAATACAATTTAAATGCTAGTTTTAAAAACTTAGTAATATTTTGTCTTTGTTTGACTGGAGCCAGTGATATAAGAGAATGAATTAGGATGGTGATTTGAAGAAGCCATTATGTTATACAATTGATCTTCACAAAACAATGACACGGTTACTTTTTCATCACTATTTAATAAAAACTCATTGTAGTTAAGGTGCTTTTTAAGAAACTGCCGTTAGTCGGTTATTAGTTTAAACAATCAAAACGTTTCTGTAAAATATCTGGTCCGCAAGATTAGCGATTAGATTATTTAAAGGGAAAGTACCAAAAATCTTGCTGTGGGCTAGAGACAATCTTTTAAAACTTATTTAAAAAAATATTCTTATCATGACTTTATGTTATATAATTTAATATAATATAATTCCAGTATATTATTGAATCTTAACTTTAGCTTTAATTTCCAGACCGTGTAAATCTTAAGTTCTTGAATGGTATTTTTAAGTAAAGTATTAGCTTGGTGTTGAATTATTTTAACTATTGCAAAAACATTTAGACAAAAAAATGTTCCTCAAGGAAATAGCTATTACTACCAATATATATATTTTTTCTTTTACTGGAGAACATTATATTTTTGAGTAAAAAAAACTTAAATGTTTAAACACTTTGAAAAAATTTGAATTAGTAAAACTTAAAATTTATTAATTGGCCAAAACTACCTTAAGTACCCTATGCCTTTTCCGAATTAGATATTGTCTAGCCCCGAAAAAGGCAATTTTAAACTCGGATTATAACTCAACGCAAAAAGATTTTCTATTTTGTTAAGGTTAAAGGCTAACATATGAGAATAATTATGCTAATTTTAATTTAAAAGTAATGAAATTAGTTATTAAATTAGACACATTGTAATCCTTTTTATGTTTAAGTTTCCAATAGATTAGGGAAAAAAGTTTTTAAGTAAACACTTATTTAATTTTATTTAATCACTTATATTTTAGCGTTAATTTTAGAATAAATCTATTAATTAAAAAAACTATTTTAGACTAAAAGTTAAACACTCTACTCTTATTTATTAAATCAGTCATGATTAATTAACTAGTCGTTACGCAAATTTAATTTGATAATTTTTTTTCACATATTTTATATAAGTACTTTTTAGTGGACGTTTGAAGTGTAAAATATTTTTTCTCTTTACTAGTTTAATATAACTCGTTTTCGATCCTTAGTTGTATAATACTTGTCTGTATTACTCTGTTGTTTATATTCGTATTAACACATGAACACTTATAAAAATACATTTACATGTTTTTTTATTTGTGTTAAATATTTATTTTTTTGTTAATTCTAACTCAACTCATATTTTTTTCCTGATCAAGGCTGCCATAGGAAATGATGTGTAAAAATTCTTAGAAAAATTAAGTTAGATATAAAATGGCAGCGCTTCAACAATTCCTTCTCACGTCAAATCCAAACATGAAGCATCTTAAAAGAAACACCGGTTGACAAACACAAATGTACTTAAGAAACATTGAAAAAGAAAAAGAGACAAAAGGGCAAAAAAAAAAAAAAATGGTGGTTGCTCAATCAAAAATCAGAAACGACCAAAAGTAACTGAAATTTGACTTAGAGTTGACTTAGAATTAGAATTTTGTTTTCAAGTTTGATTTTTTTTTTAAAGAGTTAGATAATGAGGGAGATCAGAACTTTAAAGGCAATGTGAATATTAAATTTTTTACCAGGTATGCATCAGCATTTAGATGATAAAAACTTCCGTTGAAGAAAAATGTAAAGTATGAATTACAAAAAGAACTTGACAATGATATTTAATTACACAACAGAGTTTTTTAATTTTACAACAGATTTTTTGACATACCAAATCAATGATTTGGCTTGCCCAATATAATTCACAAATATTATAGTTCACAGACATAAACTGAAACAAGTTTTTGTCGAAATTCCGAACAGAAGGACAATAAGGTGTCCTCTAAAAGGTGCCGAACTTCTTATTAACTGCTTTACAAATTACTTGGACCCACGCTACAAAGCTTTTATGGAATATAACAAATTTGATGAAATAAAAAAGTGACTGACTCGAACCGAGCAAATCCTTAACCGCGTGGTCTTACACATGAGTGGTTTATTTTTGAAGTTTTAACCGTGTTTTGTTGAATAATATTCTTTTTTGCTATGTAGCAGCAGAACAAACAAAAATAAAAAAATAAAAAAATTAAAAAAAATCGTATTGACTGCTTTTTTAGGCAATGATTTTGAAGTTTACTACTTTTTATTTATAAAAAGTGACCCGAATTTTGCATTCTAAAACAATTAAATTACTTTGAAAGTTTATAACTTTTAAAATAATTTAGTTGTTGATCAGACAGGTTGAAAACAGTTTAGGTAAAAATAGGATGGGATGGTAAAGGAATTTTTCCACACGAAATTTTTATGAGTAAAATAAAATTTTATTGAAACAAATATAATCTAAAAAAATAATCTAAGAAAAATAAAAAAAACTAAGTTCCTTTTGTTACTTGAATAATTTTGTCTTTTCCATTTTCCTTTTGAATAATATGTAAATTAAGCTCCTCAGCAGCTTTTGTTATGCTTTGAATTTCTTCTTCAGTTAAGTTTTTAGGTAAAAACATTTCTGATTCATTATTATCCTTGAATCCTTTTAAGGCTTCTCTAACGACATGTACCATTTGTTGGGTTTCTTTTGCAGGAGATTTGTCAGGTTTTTTTTCAGGAGTTAGATTCAACATTTTCCTGGACAGCTGCTGATCAATTTTCTGTGTTTTTTTCATTTCTTCATCTAACTCTAAAAGCTCTTGCATTACCTCTTTATTTCTGGGATCAAGTCGATGGGCTTTAGAAATCTGTCGTTTTGATTCTTCATACTCTCCTAAACATCTAAGACTTCGAGCTAACCTATATAGGGCTTTAACATTTTTATTGTCAATATCTAAAGCTTTTCGTGCATACTTAATAGATTTTCTATATCGCACTTGTTTCAAATCACACAAAGAAATGTTTAGATACAGTTTTAGAGCACATTTTTTCATTTCTTTTTCCTCATTTTCATTTTTTAAATTAGTGTTCTCTAAAAGGCGTAATGCTTGACTGTACTTACTTGATGCTCTATTATATTGTTTTACCATAAAGGCCTCATTACCTGTTAATCGAATAGAATCAACAACTTTGATAATTTCTTCAAAAGGTGTTTTCATCTGTTCATCTTTTGAAAAATTTTGAAAAACATCAGAAGCTAATTGATCAACATAACTTATTAATTCTATTTCAAACAAAACCTCTGCGTTACTTGGTATGCGAGGTGGACAGCCCATTTTTCCAAATGCAACAGTTGGATGAAGCAAAAACTTGGAAATTTCTCCTCTTTTCATTGTTGAAATAGCAATTTGCCAGCCTTCAATACCCTCGCCTGATCCTAACTTAAACTGGTGCTGCTTTCCACGAAGACGACTGGAATCAAAAGGTTCATCAGAATATTCTATGTAACCATTATAGTGAACTCGACATAAAGAATTCGGAGGAATTACTGGACCGGAACCTTGTTTCATAATTTTTTTTAAAACCAAACCACATCCTGTAATGTCTTCCATACCTCTTTTTATTTTTTCAAAAGGTGTTGACTTTTCGTCAGAAGAATCACAACCATCATCTATGCATTCATAGTTAAGTTGTTTAAAAAGCTCTTCTTGCTCGAAATACCTTGACTCTTCATTATCTGGTAGATCAACAGATGATGGATCAACAGAAAACTCTGTTTCTTTTCCAGCACGAAGCACAGATAAATCAATACCAGTTCCCTGGAGATTAACAGCAACATAATTTTCTTGAGAGCCAAGATTTGTCATTTCATCCAACTCAGGCAATTCATTAAAATTTTCATCCATTTTTTAATAGCTTTAATAGAAAAAGCTAAAAAAACAAATATATATATATATATATATATATATATATATATATATATATATATATATATATATATATATATATATCAGTGGCGGATTGAGGTTTAGTGTCGCAAAGGGGCCAAGTCAATAATTAGGGGCGACCGGGGTTGCCTTCAGTAATTTAACCTTATATATATATATATTTTAATTGTTTTAGGGGGCGCCGTAAGACCGTTCTAGGGGGGCGTGGGGGGGGGGGCAGCTCGCCCCCCCACGCCCTATACTAAATCCGCCACTGATATATATATATATATATATATATATATATATATATATATATATATATATATATGCTTGACACTGCAAAAATCTAAGATATAATAATAATTTCTTAGCATGTTCGTGTTTTTTTTTTTTTTTTTTTTTTTGCATAACCTTTTTCAATTCAACATTACTGTAGTGAATATAATAAGACAACTTCAACTACTTTCTAATAAAGTTAATGATTTTTGAGAATGTTTTTAAATTTTAATAAAAATATTGAAAGTAATGAAAATATTAAACTGCTTAACTATGAGATTTGTTACCATATTGTGAGCTTTAATAGATTTTTTTTAGGTAAATGCCTAATAAATGAACATAATGTTAAGTGTTTGGATAGTAGATAGATTAAATGATTGTGTGTTATCTAGCCCATACATTCAAAAATCAGTTCATGCATGTGCACATTCTAATCTTTAACTAAATATAAAATTCAATAAATAAAGACTACATTTTGAAACTGTTAATCTTGTTTTTATTTTTGCTTCGTAACAAAATTTTAAAAAGGTTTTATGTTTCATTGCAAAACCTGTAACTAAAAAAACTAAAAAATTATAAAATACTATGACTAATGTCTGTTTATAAAAAAATCACACTCAATAACTTTGCTTTTATACTACACTTATCCCTATAAAAATCAGTCAATGAACAAACTTCTGCAATTATCTACCTATATCAAAAAATCGGTTTATGATAAAATCAATATTTTATAAAAAATAACTAACAATGACAAAATATGAAAATGATAACAATGATAACAGTATAATTATAACAGAAAATGATAACAATGATAAAAGTAATACCAACAGCAATAACGACAGTAATAAAATAAATTTGAATTTATCAAACTCATAAGTAACATTTAAACACATTATAGCACATATATAGAAATAATTGATTTGTCAACGGTTTATATAGAAATTTTGTTCATCACGTTTTTTTCCTAGAAGTCTCTCCTAAAGGGTGTGTAAAAATTTTTTTTAAGAATTGCGCAAAAGTGTTATCATACAACCATGAGTGGCTTTTTGAAAGTAACAATATTCCGCTTTTAAAAATAAGTTTTATTTTTATGCTTTAGCTACATATATTAGGTAAGTTATTCAAGTAAGTTCAAATGAACGTCAATTTTAGGTAAATGTTTTCTTTTTTTAGTTTAGATATTTCAATTAATTTCTTTGATGTACCAATTGCATATTTTTTTATATTTTATTGTAACTAAAATGTATACAAATAAATAACAATTTTTTTAGTTGTTTGCAATGTCTGGCAGCTGCGAAGGGCCAGAATCTATGTACGTTAAACTTATTTCAAGTGATGGGTATGAGTTTATTATCAAACGTGAGCATGCACTAACATCAGGAACAATTAAGGCTATGCTTAGTGGGCCAGGTAAGCATTTCTAATTTATTTTTTTATCCTACAATTTCTAACTCAGAAAATTTTTCTTTCTCTTATAAGACAGATATTCTCAAACGTTTTAGGTTTTAATCATAAAAAAGTATTACCGAGAAAGTACTATTACTATTACCACTTATCGGTTTTAAACTAAAATGCAACCTTCAAGTGTTTATCAATTTAAAATGCTTTTATATAGTATGTCAAATATACGTTGTTTAAAAAAATAAAACTGTTAGTTTTATGCATAATGAATTTTTTACTACAATAATGGTTGTAATTATTTTAACAACCCTCTTTATATATAATTTAAAAATAAAAGACCTTTCACTTGAATAAAATTTATTGAATAATGTAGAAATCAACATCTAGGCTGGCAGATGCTTGAAATTTAGTATATAAATGAACATGTTACATCACAATTTTACCTCCAAAGTCTAAAATAGTGAAAGTAAATTAAAAAATAAAAAAATGACTGCAAAGTATCATGTTAGTTATAGGCTATTTAAAAAAATTAGTTTATTAAAAAAAAGTTAATTATATTAAATCCGGCTGAACAAAATTGATTTTATCAGGAAATGTATCTACAATTGCACTTTTATTTTGTTTTTGAAGTCAAAAAACAAAGATATAAGCAGACATACCATTAATGAGCAATTTGGTTGCATAAATATTTAAATATTCTTAGTCATCAAGATTTTTCAACAAAAATTTTCAAGTTTTTATATTATATGATACATTTGTTAAAAAAATTATTTATATTAAATACCATCAAAGATTTACCTTCTATATTTATAACGTGAGCTTTTTTGTAACAACCTACAACTGCAATGTCTTTAATTTTTTAAATTTCTGCCAATTAAAATAGTGTCTTAATGTTTCCTATAAAAAAAGAAACACTTAGTTCTAAAAAAACCGAACATTTATGTTATAAAAGTTTTATTTTGCAATTTTTTTTTACAAAAATTTTTAGAACTCCAGTATCTTGGGTATAATCAATTCAAGTATATGAAGTAATGCATTCACTTCAAAGACTATGTATCTTTATTTTACTTTAAAGACTATGCATCTTTGTTTTACAATGATAATTTTCATTTACTCGACTAGATTATAGAGAAGGAAACATCGTGGTCGCAGAACTAATTGAGATGAGTTCCCTTGGTACTGAGGTACCACTCATACGCTCAGTAGGTGAAGCTAGAATTTGAACCTCCAATCCTGCTGCTACGGCCCATCATAATTACAAATTTCAGCAGCACTTTAACCAACTGGGCTATCCCGGCATCAACTGAGCTATCCCATAATCTTCATAACTTACTGTGATCTGTTTAGTTCACACAAAAAAAAAAGTCATTAATAATTTCACAACTGCATTAAAACTTTATCTGGCATCACCAAGCAAAGCACCAAATATCAAACAAACATCAGCAAGATAAAGCACCAAAGCATTAGAAATAACTGTGTAATCAACCAAAGAACCAAGTTTTATCAAACTGTTTAAGATTAATAGTTCTTGTTACATTTTAGTTTTTTTTTTTAGTTCAGTATTTTTCATCATTTTAGTTCAGTTTCATCATTTCTTAGTTTTCATGTTATTTTTTTTTATTTTATTATTATATTTTTAATTTTAGTAAGATTTTGATGGCAGACCTAAGATACTTCTAAAAGAGTTAGCTCAATTATTGTGTACCTAAACAATGGCGCCAAGCTTTTGTATCTCTAATTTTTAAAAAAGGAGCTACTGCGGATGCAAATATTTATAGACTCATCTCACTGACATGCACTTGTGTCACGCCATGGAAAGAATGATCAATTTGTATGTTATAGAATATCTAAGTCATCATAGCTTAATATCTTATAATCAAATGGTTTCCTCAACAAGCGTTCCACCTGTAAAAATCTCTTAGAATCTGCTAATGATTGGAAGACTGCACTTGATAACCACCAAACTCAATACGCATTGTTAGTGGAGTTCCACAGGATAGTGTGTTACATTGTTTCTATTTTATGTTAATGGTGTAACTGCTATAACTAATAATCTGGATTGTTGTATAAAACTTTATGCTGATGATATAAAATTATATAGTTCATACCGTGACATGGATCTAAGCCAAGATCTAGTTGTTACTCTAAATAAACTTGTACTTAGGGCAGAAACTTGGCAGCTAACAATTGCTAGTAGTAAGTGTTTTGCACTTAAAATAGCACCTCCCTCATTATGCAAAGGTATAAAGGTTAGCTATAAATTAGGCGAGTGTACTTTGGCTTGGTCTTCAAACCTAAAAGATCTAGGAGTAATAATGGACTGTAACTTTATTTATAAAAAACATATTTCTAACGTCATCCATCAAACTAACTCTAGAGCATACTTAGTTTTGAAATACTTTAAAACTCGCGACCCTTGTACTCTAGTTAGAGCTTTCGCTACATGACCAATTTTAGAATATTGTTCTCCAGTTTGGTTGCCACACCAAATTGGATTGGTTAAATCAGTTGAAAGTGTCCAATGAAAATTTACAAAGAAAATTAGGAACCTTAAAAATTTGTCATATTATAACAGACTACAGTTGCTTGGTTTGGAGTCATTCGAAGTTCGGCGCTTTAAAAACAACTTAGTAACTTGTTTTAAATTTTTCATAAACTTGTTTGTACTGAACAACCTATGCTCTTTATTATTAGCAACAATAGCCACATCCGGGTTCATATTTATAAAATACGCAAACAATTTTTTTTCTTGCTTGGATTTAAAAAAGTATAGCTTTTCTTACTGAGTTGTTGACATGTGGAACAATATGACCTCGGAAGCTGTGAATGTAAACAATATTTTAATGTTTAAAAATAGAATTAAATATTTTGATTTCAACAAATACTTATTGTAAAAAGGAACTATTTATTTCTTTATAATTTTGTAGTGACATTTTATTTTTTTTAATTTTTTTTTATTTATTTATGGGCATGCTGTTAGTGACTATTTTTGTATGGGCCTTCGTGTCCTTTAGAACATGTATTTGATGTTCTAATAAATATCAATCAATCAATCGAAGATTTTTATTGAAAATAAAACAAATTTAAAAAAGAAAATTTTTTTATGGGTCATGAGGTTAAAAAAAAAATACAATCACTTATAAAACATATTTAATGCAATAAATATGTTTTGACCTATGACTTTTTTTGTCTTCTAATGTTATACCATACCATTTTGTCTTTAATTTTATACCATAAAATATATATTTTTTCTCTATTTTATTACGATAACATGATATTTTTTGAACACTTCCATGTCTTCCTCACTATGAGATGCTTCCGTGAGGTGACAACTTTTTTGAGAATTATTTTCTCAAAAAACAAAAATTTTTATAATCTTTTTATTGATTTTCAGTAAACAACTATAAAACATAATAGAATAATTTTTGCATTAAAATATCTTTTAAAGTTACGTGTTGGTAAGCCATTTTTTAAAATATATACTAAAACAATTGCTGTCAAGATTATTAATTTCAAAATTTGTTGTTTTTTGCTTTAAACAATAACTTTTTCTAATTACTAGCCATATTTTAGATATGATATTTGAAAAGATGCTTTACTAATACTCGTCAATTTACTGTATTTACTGAATTTCTTGTAAAAGGTTTTTTGTATGTTTTCCCTACCTGTTATATTCCTGATTTTAGCTTTTAATGCGGTTCCAACGATATATGAAATGTTGTAACTTGTTTGCAATATTATGAGAAATATTTTATTCTTATAATTAATTTTTAGCATTGTTTGAAGAAAATGATACTAACGAAGTACAATTCCGAGAGATTCCGTAAGCATTTTTAAATCTGATTATGTTTAGGATAAGAAAAAATTCTTTTCTCTTTTAATAATAATAATAGTAATAGTAATTTTTATGTGTATAAGTTTTATGTTGACAATATAACAAGCTGTAATTTTATGTTGACAATATAACAAGCTGTGATATGAGCAATGAAGTTGAGAGTAGTTTGATGTTTAGAGGAGGTTATAAATAAAAGATATGTTGCTCATATTTAAATGAGGTAAGATGTAATGTTGCTCATATTTAAAAAAGCTACGGTAAAAAATAAAGGTAGGAGGTGCTCATATTTTATAGATGTAGAGGTATGTTTCTCATTTTATAGAGGTTAAGTGGTATGTTGCTTATATTAGAAATTCACGTGGTTTTTATGTAAACATTTTAATACAAACAAATAATTTTAATGGTTTACAGTGTAGGAAAAATTATTAAAAAAAAGTTTCCAATAAAATATGGTAAAGCGGTTTTCTAAATAAAATATTATGTATTTTAATATATTTGAAATATGTATGAAATATTTTTTGGGGGAGTTTATAAAAACTACTTTTATTAAAAAGATAATTAGGGTTAATGCGTATTTTGTATTTCTTTAATAAACAGAGATTTGGATTGGATCCCGTGTTTTTTTGTTTTATGGATGTAATATTTAAGATCTTGAATTGATTTATGTTTCTTTAAATGGCCTATGTAAGGTGATACTTAATAACCGTTACAGCAATATGTTTTTATTTCATAAATATTTTATTTAATTAGAAGTTGTTTTAAGAGTAAAAAATTCTTTTTTTATATATATAGTTTTACGTAACATATTTTAGAGATCTGTACTTCGCCTATAAAGAGTTATATATTCATTTTGTTTATATACATATTTTATATATTCTTTTTGTTTATATACATATTAGGTCGCATATTTTAGAGAAGATATGTACCTACTTCGCTTATAAAGTTCGTTATACAAACAGCAGTACAGAAATTCCTGAATTTCCTATTCAACCAGATATCGCTCTCGAACTCCTAATGGCAGCTAATTTTCTAGATTGCTGATGTAAAAAAAAAAACGTTACATTGTATTATATCTTTAGATTTTTCAGAGTTTGTTTTTTGCTGAGGTAATTTCAATAAAATAATATGGCGACGGTAAAATTTGTTGACTATGTCAAATTAAATGCAATGAAATATTGTATTCAATACAGGGTTTCGATTAGCAAGGCTTGCGAGAATTTCACATCTTTATCTACCTGATGCCTTATTTTTTTAAAAAGATGTACTCGCAAAAATTAAGTATGACTTGCAAATTAGTTTCGTAAGAAGCATTTCGACAGTCACATTCGAAAAAAAAGAAGCATCGTTAAAATGTGGACATTTTCAACGGGTAAAGTGCTTCTATAGGATTGGGATATTGGGGGATGCAAAAACATGCAAAGAGTGCTGTTACTTCTACTGCATGTTTGGGTTGTGGCAGCATTAAGGTTAGGATTAGGTGTAATTTTTCGCACTTTTTTTCCGCAATTACAAGCTAAAAACTTCCTCATTTTACTCGTATCCCGAAAAAACGCTTTGAATTATGCACTTGCAAAAATGAACTAAAAATATGTGTTTTATGAAAATGAATAGATAAGGAAATTTTTTGTGTCATTCTCGATCGAAGCCAAAATGCTTTATTCGCTCCTAACATTAAAAATGACCTTTCTTGAGATGCTGATGAAGCGTCGGCGGTCGAGACAATTCTTTATGACAGTAAAACAATTTTTAAACAACGATCTTAGCACATTAACCAATTTTCCAAGCTGATGGGTTCACTTTATGTCCACAATATATCAAGCTGTGAAACAAAAGAAGTAAAGTAAACAAAGAAATTAAAAAGAAAAAAAAATAGAAGTAAACTAAGAAAAAAGAAAGAAGAAAAATAATTTATTTTTTTTATTTTATAATACGCTTTTAATTTAATGTAATTATTCTTATTTTATTATTTTTTTTCTAGCTTTGTTTTTAAATTATTTTTATTAATTTTTTATTTTTTTGTTGATTATTATATATGCTTATTATTATTATTATTATATATCTATATAATTTGTTACCTTAGTTACTTTAGTTTTACTTATTAACTTATAGTACTAAGTAAAAACTTAATAATTTATTATTATATTTTCACTTATTATAGCTAGAGTAATTTACTTATAATCATTTATTTTATTTTATACTTATAAATTATAATTTAACTTATTATAACTTATTTTTAGTATATATTTATGTTATTCTTCCCTAACTTTGTTAATAATATTTTTTTCATTATTTATTTAAATTGTTAAATAAATACCATTTTTATTTTATTGATTGAATTATATTTACATTATCAAAAATAATATTATTATTTTTAATATTTTTGGTTATATTGCTGTTCATATTACTGCTTAATATGATCTGGAATTTAGGATATTGAAAAACTCTAAGACATCTTGGTTCTGTATTTCATGTAGAAAATATATTTTTCCATTTAGTTCTTTATCTGATAAGGAGTTGCGTCTGCAACAATAAATGATAAAGTAATTCATATTAATGAACTCTCAAACAACATATCATCTTTTCCGAACACCATAGAGTTTAATCTTTATAATGAACTTAATGACTTTATTTCCCATCAACTTACTAACAACAATTACAATAACGTAAACCTCGAAGAAAACCCAATTAATTGTAAATATATGGAATGTTTCAATTCTGCCAACATCGACAAAAATAATTTTTCTCTCTTTCCTTTAAATACTGCTTCTCTTATTAAAAATTTTGACGAATTAAACTCACTTTTATGTCTTATTAACCACGAATTCAGTATTATTAGCATAACTGAAACTAAACTAAAAAATGACATGCTACCAACTATAATCATATATAGAAGCATATCTTCTGGGGCTGTCCATTAATTACGTCAACAAATTTTTTGAGATTTTTACCTCCACTCCTCCCCCTAGTCAACAATTTGTCAAATTTTTAGAGACCCCCCCTATAAAATTACGTCAACTTTTGATGACCCTTCCCTTATACAAAGAAACTATGCTACAAACTCAGCCTAATTTTCCGTTATTTAATCAATGAAACTCAAAAAAAAAAGAAAAATTGTTGACATCAACTTTAATTGACTCCCCCCCCTCCCCCATGTTAACAATTGTCAAAAAAGTTTAGATCCTCCTCCCCCTATTTTGTTGACGTAGTTAATGGACAACCCCTCTCTAAGTGACAGCGTGAACTTCAAAGATCTTCCTACAACTAAATCTAAATGCTGCACTGGCCAAGCTATAGATATTTTTAATAATTTATCAAACGTATGCTTACCTAAAGTCCCTCCAGTTGTAGTAAATGTAAAGATTAAAAAAGCAAGGCTCAAAAGGATGCGGGATTTGTATAATGATCCTTACCATCAATTATGTCAGCAAATTTTAGACAAAACTGCTCATAAGGAACAGAGAGTTGCTTTTTTAAGTTATTAAAAAAGCAACTCTCTGTCATAGATCTTCAACTATTCTCCATTAAGAACTCATTCGAAATGTTATCTGATTTATACATAAATAAAGCACAAAAGCTTTTATCCATGCAGTTTTCAGATGTAAAAGGATTACAAGACCCTATTCTTGGACCAAAACTTTATTTTAGAGTGCAATATGGAAAGTTTGTTCAAATTTTACATAATGGTACAATGCATTGGCTTACCATTTCAAACTTTTTAAGTACCCATCTTAACTCAGTTGATGTTTCCTTATATTATGATTTAAGTGTTAATGGAATGATGCAAGTAGGATCGTGGTGGTTAAAGAATCTTTTTTGAAATTACAGTTCAAAAATTTCCAAAAACAATCTGTTATATATGGTATATATTACGGCGTAATATATACCATATATAACGCCGTAACATATTAGTGACTATACTTGTCCAGACTTATCATTGCAGAGGATATATAAATACAATTAAAAGAATTCAGTATCATACCGCAAAATTGGGTTAAGACACTAATCACCTTATATACGAGAAGTGTTTAACATGTCTTAATTCAAACTACCCTTCACTTTCATCCTTAACACGATTACCCTTCAAACTCGCCGTTTGTGTAGTGACTTTATACAGCGTAGTGAACTTATACAATTAGTACAAAATAATTAATAGAATTGATTGGATCAATTTTGTAACGTCATAAATTGCACCAGTTTATTGAGGGTTTAAGTAAAGTCTTAGAACAAGTTTTAGAACAAGCCGAATAATTTGAATTAGAAGTCGAAATTTTTTTGAAACATGATAAAAGGCGTAACTTTTTTATAAATGCTGCAGTAAAAAAACTGGAATTCTCTGTTAACTGCCACATTAGACTACCACCATTGCTAAAAAGTTTTAAAGGTGGACTTAGTACGATTTATTTAAGCAATTTGGCTGGCGCAGCTATAATTGCAAATTTTGTAAGAAAAGAGGGGTCCTTACCTGCCTTTTTCCGTCAGAATAATTAGGATGTGCATTTTAAACAAATATTATACCGTGAATTGTTGTTATTGTTCTCAATTTCAATTAATTTGTGAATGTATACATGTAGTATACATATACATGCATATAATAGCTGTGCTAAAAGCCGTTTTTATTTTTTTAAATGGTCGTGCGAATAAGCTTATTTTCATTTGATGTGCATTTTAAATAAATTTTATACCGTGGATTGTTGTTATTGTTCTCAATTTCATTTGTAAATGTATACATTTAACATATACATGCATATAATAGTCGTGCTAAAACTTGGTACTAGTACCAAGATTTCTGTCAAAATTAATTAAATAGATATTGCATTAAAGCCTTTAAATGTAGCAACACAATTCTATGTACGCAACTCTATAATATACTTGCATAACACTTAAATGCTCCTTTACTTTTCCTATTAATTTACAACGATACCATTATAAAAAGCAAACTATTTTAAAATGGAGAATCAATATGCTTTATATAAATGCATTGCGCGAATACTTCAATAAGCCGCAAGCGTAAATTAGATTTTTAAAAGTAAATTGGCCCAACGTAGAGCCAACGCGATGAAAATTCAAGTAGAGTTACATCGCGTTGGCACTACGTTGGACCAACGTTAATCAACCAATCCAACGTTAACCCAACGTTGGCCCAATTAAGGATGTTTTAGCTGGAGATAGGTCTGTAATTGTTTAGTGTAAATGAATCCCCGGTTTTTAATATTGGTATTACCTTTAATTTATTTGGTACAGATCCTGTAATAATTGAAGATTTAAATATTTCATAGATTGGTTGTTTTATCACCGGAAATAAATTTACAACTATATAGCTACAAATGTCGTCTATCCCAGGACCCTTATTCGTCTTTAGCGAGTTTTTTGCAATTTCTAATTCTTCATGGTTTAGTCCAGAAAAAATGTTTAAACAGAAATGTTGATTTGTAATAAAGGTTTCAAAGGAGATATCAGGGCATTGAATTTTTGAAGCCATATTAGGGCCTATGTTTGCAAAAAAACTATTAAAATTTTCAGCGATAGAAATTTTATCGATATATTGAGTTTTGTTAAAGATAATTTTATCAGGTAAACTATTTGATTTTGAATGGTTTTTACCTATTATTTCCTTCAATATGTTCCAGGTTTTTTAATATCACTTTTGCTTTTTTGTAGTTGTTTTGAATAATATATATTTTTTGAATTCTTTCTAATTTTTTCAAATAGATTTTTTTACTTTGTTGTATGTAGTTAAGTTAGTTTCTTTTCTGTTTTTTAAATACTTGATGTAGAGTTTTCGCTTTGTTTTTGACGATTTTCTAATCCCGTTAGTTATCCATGGACAGTTTAAATACTTTAGCTTTATTTTCTCTTCAACAGGGAAATGTTTATTGTAGTAATCAAGAAAAATATTTATAAATAAATTGTATGCAGAGTTTGTGTGTCCAAGATTTCATTCTTGATACACTCCATCCTAATTTACTACCGATAGAGAGTCTTTGAAATTTTTAATAGACTGATTGATTTTTCTTTTATAAATTTTGGCTTTAGGGTTGTTATAGGTTCTTAAATCTTGAGAAAATGAAAAATAAATAGGAAAATGAT